AAATTGAAGGTTTTAAAAGGCTTTGGGGGTTGGCTCTTTCACCATTATTTGCTGGAGTTTGGGTCTTCAGGCTCTGGGTCATAGATTTCTTTCCAGGCTACCTTGTAGCAATTTGAGAGCTGGAATCACTATCTGCTGGGTCCAAAAGATCCAGGAAGAGCTTAGTGCTGTTGACTAGACCTTGGATGGACCCACCACAAAAGTTTAACCCAACCTTGACCTCAGAGTCTTCATAAGTGCTCACTGAAGAAAATTTCCAGGACAACTCGGGCCTCTCTTCTGCTCAGAGATGTCAATAAAGAACCTTAGTAACACGACTTTCAACCCTAGTACCAAATTCCCCCCTTCCCTTCTACCAGAAGATTCATTCCAACAGCTGGATAGAAGAGAATCTTCCAGGACATCAGAGATGGCTTGCCTTAGGAGTAGGAGAAGTAAAAACACTGCTATCTATGCAGAAAGAAAATAGGGTAAAATTGAGATACCTGTTACTCAACAGATTTCCTTGGATTGAAATAGAACTAGTAGACACTGGCCTAAAGGGAGTTCAAAATGTATCAAGAAGGGAACCATTCCAATGTGGCTGCAGTTTGTGTGTATCATAGCCTGAGAATGCTAGAACAGGGAATCATGACACCAAGCCAATTCAACCATAAACTATTATTCATGTGCTTTTCTTGCTGGTAATTTTATGCACCAGGTTGAGAAAGTTACTCTATGCTAGGACAGCCTGTATACCAATAATTTTGATAAAGAGTTCTGTGATGTCTTTTTTTGTTATCTTTTCACTCCTACCATGATACCAGTAATTTATAAGACACCTATGTAGCTTGAATGTGTTTGAATAACTTCAACATACTTTAGTTCTCCCTGATGTGACCCAAAGAGCCAGTAGGTCCTAAGATTCCCATGTGTATTGGAAGCCTGAAGTCAGTGAGATGAAGCCCAATATCAAGAATAAAAGTAAAGCAACTTGTGGGGCAAGAATATAAAGAAAACATTGGGTAGTTTGGTTAGAGCATCATTAAATTTTCTGGTTTTCAAAAGTTTGAACTCCAATAAAAGGACCTTTAATGTGCTATTTTTGCAATTTTCAGTAACAAATGTGTGTATACAGAAACAGTAAAACTGACATATTCGAGTAACATTAAAAAAAATTTTTTTTCTTTAAAAAAAAAAAAAGGCTGCATGATGAATCAGTCATGTGGCTTTGGACCAGTAAGGAGTGGAGCTCAATTTCAACCCAGATGCTTCTGACTTGGAAGGCCATTCTTCCAAGCATCTTTTTTCTAGTATGTTAGATATACATTCTGACTCCAGGTCTAACTCCAGAGACTACACTGTTTTCACAATACCGTATCTTCTAAACTGAACAAAATACTTTCACAAAATAGTTGATTCTCTTCTTCCAATTTCTTTTCATTCAAGAAAAGGGAAAGAAAACAAGCATCCAATAAACAAACAAATACAGTACTAACATTTAAATACTTTCTCAGCAAATATTATTTTAAAGGAGAAACCAAAAGAATGTATATCTAACATACTAGAAAAAAGTTGCTAGCAATTAAGGAGTGCAACCATTAATGCAGTAACTATGTGCAATCAGGTAAGTCACTGGGAAGTGAAAACCACCTAAATTTCTTCCAGCTAAAACCAAATTAGTAACCCTCATCTTCTCAATATGATAGCCAAATTTGAGACACTACCAACAAAATGCAGAGGGGCACACACAAGCCACAGCAATATCATGACGCCTCAGTTCACAAGTAAAGGAGACACACCATTATGAGATACACTGTAAGGACACCAATGACCAACATATGGTATTGCAATGGCTGTTCCAGGGAACATTCATTTACACTGTTTCCTGGATTTCAGGCATAAAAAGATAACAGAAGACATATATTGGCCCTATTGCTGTGACAATTCATAACCATTTTAACAGCAACCATTTCGCTACTCAGAAGATTATAAAGAAATTGTGTTTTTCATAAGACTCTACGACCTACTACCTATAACTCTCACATACACATATTGTACAACCTTAATATGTAATTATCAAATCTGGTAATGAACGTTCTGTAAATTACCAGGTACTACAATATTTTGGTATTTGCCTTTTAACCAAACTGAGGGGGAGAAGGGGAAGGTGGAATAAGCCTCATTTCACCTGCCCTTTCCAAAATTTCACTTCAAGAGTGTTCAAAAACTCAGTATGTCCAGGTATAAATCTCCAAGTTTGTCTAATTTTCACTGCTTAACAAAAGCGATGTAGAAAACAATTACTGTACTCTTCATCAATCCTTTCAGATTGCACAGAATTCCTTCCAGAAAATTCCAATTAAAAAAAGTTAGACAAGTATTCCCATTTTGGTATGTATGTCGTCTTTGGCACAAGTCATTTCAGAGCAAAAGCCTTTAAAATATTTAAATGTTCCTGGTATTGCTTTCTGATGAACGTGATAAAATAGCCAAATAATCCATATTTACCAAGATTGAAAACACTTACACCAAGTACGGAAAATCTTTCCAAAACACAAAATCTAATTCAAAAATTATAAATAAAAAGAGAATAAATGTAAAAACAATTGCATAAACAAACTTTCAAATGCGTATGGGTTGACATTACTGAAGCCATTACTCAAAACGAACCTCTGTAAAACCGAGAAGGCACAATCAATGCAATAAGATGCTGAAGAAAGCCAAACCCGAGGCGCTGCGCAGTTCTCGCATCGCACATTTCAACACATTCATTCCTTGACGAATACATCCAAGGTCACTCACGATGGAGAGGAAAACTGCGTGTCTCCCTCCAGAGCACGCAACCCCTTCGCCGCGCCCCCACGGAGGGCGGTGAGGAGACGGGCGCTTCAGGAAGGGGGCTGCGCCGGCGCGAGGACTGGCCGGTGGGCGTTCCGGCAGCCTACAACTTGCAAGGACCACGGCCATCCCCCGGGCCTGGGAGTGGTGGCCCGAGGGCAGGCCCGCGTACCCGGGGTGACCCGACCCGCCGCGCCGGGGTCCCGCCCCTCCCCCCGCCCCGCCCCCGTCGCCGGCCCAGGATTATGCAACGCTCCCCCACCCCTCCCGCATTCTGGCGCAGCGCCCCCTCCCCGCGCCCGACTGCGCAGCGCCGCCGCCCCCCGCCCGTGGGCCTCCCAGCTCTGCTCCAAACAAAGCGCGCGCTAAGGGGCCGGCGGCGGCCGGGGAACTGGGGACAGGAGGGTGGCGGCCATGTTGGCGGGGGGCGGCGGAGATGGGGGAACGGAGGAGTGGGGGCCGGCGAACAAAGGAGCGCGCGCCCGCCCCGAGGCCCAGACCCGCCCCGCCCGGGTCCCCGCCGCGGCCCGGCCGGCAGGGGGCGCTGTGCGGGCGCCGCCCGCTGGACAATGCTCCGCCGGGCCCCGCGCGGGCCGCGCTCACCTGCACCCCCGGCCAGGCCGCCGCACCCCTGGCCTGCCCGCAACCCGCACCCCCTCACCGCCCTGTACGACCCACGCCCGCATCGCAGGCCTCACCTGCTGGCCGCTGGGGCAGCCGTCCACAGGCCCGCGGTTGCCGCCGTCTCTCGTTCGCGCTCCCGCCGGCCCCAGCCCGAGCCAGACGGCGCCTCCCCACCCCCGCTCCCTCGCCGCGGACGCCGCCCGCCCCCCAGGAGCCAGGGCGCACGCGCACTGCGCCCGCCGAACTGCGACGGCCGCGCCGCCCCGGCGCCTGGCGCCGACGGCCTATTGCGCAGGCGCCGTAGAGCGGGGCGGGGGGAGCGGGGGCGGGCCCTGGCGCCGCTCACCTGGCGGGCGGCAGGGCGGGGCCCGAGCTCGGGACTTCCAGGTGCGCGCCGGGAATGGGCGGGGGCAAGTGCCCAAGCCCAGGAGCCTTGGCGGGGCGCAGCTTCTCCAGGAAGGCAGGCAGCCAGAGAAGGGCTTCGTTTTCGCGCAGTAGGACTTTCAAGAAAGGACAAGCCCCCTTTGTCCTGGGACGTAAGCCGCAAGTCGTCCTGAGGGGTGCAGCGCGAATGCTGAGGAAGCTGGATCACAGGGCTGGGCTGCGAGCCTTGTGAGCCCTGAACCTCGGGAACGCCGCAGCTCTCCTCCAGCGCGCCGGTTCAGGGCCGCGGGACGCGAGCCTTCAAAAGGATGGATTTGCTTCCTGTGGCTCCCTGGAAGAGACGTCTTCACCACCGCACTGCGTAGAGGCCGGCGGCGTCGCCCGCTCACCCCGCTTGCTGCCTCCCCGCACAAAGCCCTGCACAGGTAGCTCAGGTTAGCTGGAGCCCCGGAGCCCCACCTGCAAACACCCGGCCTGGCCTAGGCTGTGTGGGGACGGGATGTGGCCCTGGAAGCCCAGAAACCTGTTTCCAGCCCCCCACCGCAAATGGAACTCACCCAGCTCCACTCGCGAGGTTAAGAGCCAAAAATTCCCATGATCGCAGGCGAATTCATTTGACTTCCGTTTCAGTTAATTTTGTTGCTTGTTTACAGGAGAAGGGAGAGAGGTAGCATGAAGAACAGTTTTTATTCTTGCAGGATCGAGTGCGGGACTTGGAGGCTGAGTTCAGCCGGCCGCTGTCCACTCCCCGCCAGCCCCGTGTCCTGGAGCAGGTCACTGACCCGGTTCCTCGAGTGCGGCAGGGCAGCCGCTTCCTACTAAACCGCCTCCCAAAGCGTTGTCAGATCCCATTTCAGAACATGTTACTGGAAAACGCCTTGAACACTCCAAACTGCAGCACAGTTATTAGGTAGCAACACTCTGGGCTTTTACTGGCACCTTTTCTTCCAAAGAAGATTGATGTGTGTCTGCTCAAACAGATCGAAGTGCTTGTCCCAGATGACACACTTGGCAGGCATGGGACGTTCACAGGCCAACTAGAGGGCGAATTTCAATACCGGGATATAAAAGTGTGTCGCTGTACTGACAGGTTCACAAGTGTTGAGAGATTATTCACTTTGATTTGTGTATTTAATGTCGTGTGTGTGAGAGAGAGAGAGAGAGTGTCTCTGTGTTGCCCAGTCTGGAGTGCAGTGGGACAATCTCGGCTCACTTGAACCTTGCCTCCTGGGATCAAGTAATTCTCAGTGCTTCAACCTCCGGAGTAGATGAGATTACGGGCATGTACCATCACGTCCAGCTAATTTTTTTGTTTTTGAGACGGAGTTGCCCAAGCTGGAGTGCAATGGTGTGATTTCGGCTCACGCAACCTCTGCCTCCCGGGTTCAAACTTCTGCCTCAGCCTCCTGAGTAACTGGGATTATTACAGGCATGCACCACCACACCCAGCTAATTTTGTATTTTTAGTAGAGTCGGGGTTTCTCCATGTTGGTCAGGCTGGTTTCGAACTCCCGACCTCAGGTTATCCGCCCACCTCGGCCTCCCAACGTCCTGGGATTACAGGCGTGAGCCACCATACCCGACTCAGCTAATTTTTTAAAAAATATGTTTAACAATCGCTGGGCGTGGTGGCTCACGCCTGTAATCCCAGCACTTTGGGAGGCCGAGGCGGGTGGATCACGAGGTCAAGAGATCGAGACCATCCTGGTCAACATGGTGAAACCCCGTCTCT